TGCTCTTGGAAAAATCCTCATGACTGCCAGAAGTTGGTCTACTCAAGTAACTACTGTGACCATTTATACTCTAAGTTCAAATGGTCTGAAAATACAGTTCAGGTTTGTTTTTTGACATCTGCACTGATACTGATAACAAATCTAGACTTTTACCTCATTAATAGTGAACTAATTCCAGCACTGACAACAAACATCAGAAAAGGACACATTTGTGAAATGCTGCTGTGATGAAATGTGCTGAACTCTATACTGAAGAATGAACCCAGGAAGGGAAGTAAACCAGGTTAAAGCTGTAAATTTGTGAGAAAGACTAAAATAAACCAGTAAATGAATTAATAATGGCACACCATCCATAGTTTTGTGATTCGTTTCTTGCAGGATAACCATTTTAGTCTCGGAGACTTAGCGTTATTTAGTTGAATATTAACCCCATCCTCTGACTTACTGTTTAGTTTGTTTAGCTACACTTGCACTTACAAACCATTATATTCCTGTTAAAGATGAAAAACAGCAGGAGTTGATGTAATTACATTGCGAGTAATTAACTGTGTGAAAGTGGGTGTTTGTACAAATCAACATGCAACAGCAAAGTACAGTGAGGCCTTCCGCTGTCAGAATTATTATCATCTGCATACATGGTACACGGACCATGCCTTATGTATTAATCCTAATTATTAACCAGCGTCTGAACGACTCATCAGATGTCACTGATGAATGAAGTTGCTGTCTTAAAATGTGAATTAAAAGGATGATTAAACAGCCAAGCAGGTATGTGGTAACCCTCCCCTGTGACTTGTGGTCTGTAACACAAAGTATGACATTTAAATGGATCACATTTTCCTCCAATCTTTGATGCTTTGATGTTTTCAAAGATTGCTGCAAAACATTTAGGCTTAACCTGGGTTGAATGCAAATAAATCTCACATGAATGAAATGTACTTTTAAATTTGTATTTGCAATTATTCTGCAGGTGAATTTGGATAAAGTAATCACAGAAGCATGGCTGTCAGTCAGAAGTTGTGGTATGCAGCACTTACCTAATCCTTTTCATCTCACATGTCTGATTCTGTGCTGCCTCTTTACTGCTTCAGCGCCATTTTGTGATTAAGGCTGATAGCATATCTGGAGTTTTCTGTAGGAAATACGACGGTGTGCAGGTTCAGATAATGATGCCAGTGCAATCTTCTATAATTTTCTTCCCTATTACCCTTTTTGTCACAGTCATAAGCACCGAGAAGTCACAGGGACCTTTGGCACTAAAATCCTGTAAAGAAAGAGTGCTGCCTTCACAAAAGGAGTTCAAATAACACATATTATGTTTCTTCCCTTAAAATGACTTTTAATGATGCAATCATTGCAGTGTATCAAAAGCAGTTTCCTTTTAATAGAGTTCAATGTTGAAGAGATGATTATGATCATTTTAAAAAATGTCTTTTAGCTGTTGTTAATAAAAATGTCTAGATTGAACTTGACTTGTATTGACTCTCAGAAACAAAAACCCAGCAAGCAGCAGTTGCAGAAAAACTTAGTTGTTGCTGACTAAACTGGGTTTTACAGAGAACTGATCTTCTCATTAATCCATCCCCTGAACAGTGATTGGTCAGTTATAGCTTAAAAAGACAAATTAGCAGGTATGTCAACCTTCAAATTTTGCAGTACATGAGAAATAAATGATGATGACCTTTGTCTTTTGCTGTATTTATTCCATAATCATATTTAAAATGGGAGAAATATATTGACAACAATGTTTGTTTCTCAGGAAAGAGAACACAGGGGCATTTGAACTAAGAACTGTGGCTGCAAAAGCACTACTGCTGTCAGCGACATCAGAATCAATCTGGAAATCTATCGATTTTGGGGACACTGGTCAATATCTGACTGTTCCCTGTGCTTCTTTTAAAACACAGTTAAATATGAATTTTTAAAAAGCAAGTAACAACCTGAATTAATCTCAAATAATTGCCTATGGTTTAGAGCTTGTAGTTAAAAGTATGTGTTTGTTCTCCACTGTCCAGCACAAGCCTTTAACATGCTTCAACATGATTGGTCAGTAGAACTACAAGCGGATTATTAAAGGAAATCAAAGATCTTGTTTTCTGTCTACAAATATCAGCATTATAATTAAACCAAATACTGATGCTAAAACAATTACATCAGCCAGTTTTCTAGAAGCCTTGTACTGTTTGTGGTTTTCTTAGTAGTTTTACTTGGTGACAAACTAAGACAATTACATCACACAACAAAATATACTCATTTAAGTTGTCTCCATCTACAAAAGAGGAAATACTGATGTTGGTTTTATGGGATGTCAGGAGAGATACTCCTTTCTACTTCCTTGGGCATCAAATATTGCCATTTTGAGAAAGCAGCTGAAGTCTCACAGTTATGCACACGGTGTTCGTTGCCACCTGTGCCATAATACAACAGCTACTGAGACAGGTCTGTCACACCCAAGTGGTTATGTATGGGTGCTTCTAAAATGCGTCTTTTCATCAGATTTATATGGATTACCTACATGTCCAGGCTTACTGTTGCAAATGGCATATTTAAAAACAAATCAAGATATCGTCTTAGCCAACTGGACTAAAAAAGGAGTTTGAGATGCCTAAACCTAACCAGCCTATTAACGTAAAAAGTGAGCGCAAACGAAGCAAAATAAAACGTGGACAGCGGTCTCCTGGGTGAGTCACTCCACCACTGTCTGTCTGCTGCTCTGCAAAAACAGGACCACTGTCTGTTCATGTCTCATTCTGCCACAGCCGATGTGTCAAGCTACCAACGTCAGAGGGCAGCTTTTAGGTATTTGTGCAACAGCACAGACAAAAAGACAACGTTTGACGTACTAGGATGACTATGTATTGGCAGCAGTATGAGTGGATTATTAATTACAGATCCAAGGTCAGTTATATAATGAAATAATGAACGCATTTAGCATATGATGACTAATCGGGTTGGTTCCAAATAAGCTCCACAGCATTTTAGTTGCATGAAAAAAATATTGAACCAATTGTATATTTTATGGATTTTGTCATAATGAGTAATTGTACAAATGGCAAAATTCTTGCACAGATATATCATACACCTGTACACCTTGTGGAAATCTAGGTTTGGTCTGAACTCTATATTATGTGCCTCTTTCTGAAAATAAATAATTTACTCCTTGAACACAAAGTTCGAGCAGTAGATGCAGCAAAGGTTGAATTTATAATAAAAATTGAATCAGACCCTGCAATGGACTTAATCATACAATAATATGTGTCATGACAGCCTATTCAAACTGTTTCTGTAGCTACTGTCTGCTCTTAGAGGATCAGGCTGATCACATATTCAGTAAAAACACAGTATCGCCATCACACTGCCAGATTATTATCTCTCTGTGTTTGATGTTAAACCTCAGTGGAAGCACACGGATCACACTGAGCCGAAGGAGAAACCATTAAGAACAAGTCTGACTCGACTTTGCACAGGATACAGCCTGTAGAGCCTCTGAGCTGCGGTAAGCGGGGCTGACATGTCGTGTGCGCTGGTGTGATAGTTTAACATTCCAGCTGTCTGCTCTCGTTGCAGCGGGCCACCTCACGCTCCCCTGCCTGCCGGCCTTTATTCTGTGATCTGCTCGGCTGTCTGTTTGCCAGCCTCACTCTGCTGCTCTGCCCATCAGAGGCGCGTATTTCCTTCCCGCTGTGCTCTTCACCTTCTTAACATTTGGTTGTCACACCTTTGCACTTCGTGTGCCCAAGGTGAATAGTTGATGTGGAAGAACCTAAACTAAAGTATGTCAAACTGCTTCAGGGCTACATGCATGGAGAAATTCCACATAACTTAACAAACTGTGTCAGTTTAAATACTATTTTCTAAAGGACAGTTTGGACTGCTAAAGTTTCTGACTGCTAAAGTAATTAATCTTATAATTTAGTATAAAATGTTGCACTTGAAAGTTACACTTTTCTCTGAACTCGAGTAAACGCTGACTGTGCCATACATATAATAATGACATCATCAGTGTTTAAACTGATTCTTTTTAGGAGGATCACTTCAAAAATCATAATTTTGAGTGCACTATGTTATCGTTATTTCCTCCTATCTATAGTTAGCCTTCTCCATCTAAAAAACACAAAGGGTGGAATAAACAAAGTGAAAGAGGCAAAAGTAAAACAAGCGGAACATCACATGGGGGAATTTGGGGTTTTTTTGCTGGACAGAGCTTCAGGATGTTAAAGGGTTCAAATGCAGCAGACAGCTGGTATTACTTTGACTACAGTTGGTGAACCTATGAGCTGGACTGCTGAACTGAATCTTTGAAATAAGACATCTAATAATAGAGACATTATCATCAGACTACAGTTGATTGCTTGACTGACTTTTTACCTGGCTGCATACAAACTCAAATGTGATTATCCGTTGGAAACAAGGGATGGTTTCATGCATATTATTATACAGATATCTGTTTATAGGGATGGTTTTGACTTTAGTCATTAACAATTTACTTGCCTTAATATCCTTTTAAAATGTCAAGTGCAGTCTCTGTTACCACTTCAGTGACAGATAGCCTGAAATAGGACTTAATACAAGCCTTTTAACTGCCCTGTACAGAAAATAACTGCAGCCATTCTAACAATACAATTAACTCTAATCCAGGATTTAATAAATTATTAATCACTGTGTGTCATTATCAGCTGAATTGTTAAATTATTGAAGTTAACCAATTACCTCATTGAAAATGTCTCAGTGCATTCAGGTGCTGTCAGGATGTTCTAACAGCACTCTCATGCTTCAGAGGGTATCCTTAAAGATGCTGCAAACCAAACACTTAACACAAAAAGGATAAAATTTGCACTTCCTGACAGTGGTAATGGAATAATTTTCTCATCAAACAGTGATGTGGGCATTTTAATTCTTCAGATTAATCTGGTAATTATAGGGTGTCAAACGACAAATAGCTGGTTTTTAAATGCCTTATAAAATACTAATAATAAGTTCAAATGGATTTAAAAACTGTGAATGGCAGCCTGGGATCATTTGAAAAAGGAAAAAGTCTGCTTTTGTTGTATACAGGAGGAAATAATCGGTCAACAACATACCAATGTGATGCTTTAATCTCTAAATATCTAATACGCATACCGTGTTAAAATGATGGGAATATGTTTTCAGAAGCTCGTTAATGCCATTACATCCAACAAATGTGTCACAACGTCACAGGAGAAGATAATACACTTTGCCTTTCCCTGCTTCTACAAAGTTTTGCCTCATTTATTTGTCCATCGAAATTCAGAAAATACATCTTTGGTCTCCCAAACAAATATGTAATTATGTGTGTCTATGTTAAAAATAAGAGACAGCAACTTTGTGTTATCCCTAATGGCAGAAGACAGCGCTGTGCTCTGTGACATATGGGTCAGAAACAAGCGAGAGAATGACTAAAAGGAAAAACAACAAAAAAAACCAAATGATACATAGAGCCAACTCTTACCGTAAAGGGGGGTTTGCTTTTCCAAGAGATAACTGGAGTGAGAACCAAGAGTTCGGCCATTGTTTTCAAAGGAAAGATGCCAAACCCCCAGTAAACACCCAATAAGCTCCCAGTAAACCCACTGCCTGTATGCCAGTTTGGGTCCAGGAGGTTAAACAAGCTGATCGCCATCACTGCTGCAGATCCTGAGCCGTGCTTCTTGCCCATATGGGGCATTTTTCCTCAAATTACTGTACAAAAAAAGGAAAAACTGTAGCTCAAGAGCTCTGGCCCCAAGCCCTCTTTGAAGTTTCATGATCAGTTTTCCACATTCTTTATCATCTGTATCCTGTACAAGTGCAGTAAACACTATACTTTCACAACTCACTCTCTTGAGCGTCTCTTCCCTGCTCCATACTGGATTGTTTAAAGACGTTAATTTACAGTTTCTGGAATTGGCACTTGACAAATAACTAAATAAATAAATATATAGAACACCATCAGTAGCTCTTAGGATGCCCTTAAGTCTGAGGAAACGTCCTTCTCATCTCTTGCTGCTTGCTTTTCCATGATTTGGAGAAAAAGGTGAATCCAACAGTAGCAGCAGCAGCATTTCCTGGAGGAAGGTGTTTTTCAGGGCGCGTGTTGCTTGTGCACAGTAAGTCAGTGTATTTGTGTGTGTAAATATTGATTTGAGTATGCTTTTGAGCTGTGACTGCACGGTTTAGTCCAGCGAAAGCAGCGGCTGCATGTTGTCTTCTTCGCTCTTGACTTTGTCTGGTCGCTTCAGGACTCCCGGTTCCACCACCGACTGAGACCTACAAGAACAAAGAACAGGAGGTGATTAGCATAACTGTGTCGCCAACTGTGCTGAAAGCTTTAGAGTGTCAACCGTGAAGTGCAGTGAAATATTAACTGTAACGGTTTATGTTGATGTTAAAATATTCCGACCTACTTGTGTAAAGTCTGATGCAACAGTCTATCCGTTATTTTGTCTCATGCTATGAGGCAAATTGTGAGTATGAATAAAATCTGCAAAACAAACTTCAGGTCAATCATCACCTCAGGTTTGATTTCCAGGAATCCTCTAATTTCTATGTTTATTATTTTGTTCACACAAAGTTAAAAATTCTTTATAAGACATTGGATACATGCAGAAAACACCTGTTTCTGTGTCTGTAACATAACCAGTGTGTTTTTGTAAATAACTCAAAATGCTAAAGTGAAAAAATAAAATGTTACTTGCAAGTTTCATTATGTTTCATTATGTTCTATATGCAATCATTTATCAGTATTATTTTTTTACTAGTTAACCTGTGTTATAATTTTTGTTTTAATACTTCATAAAAAGAAAACAGCATCCGCACATTAAATAAAAATGCATTCGTGCATACTGATTTTATAGTATAACACGCATAACACTAACAGTGCTTTATAGGCTAAAAAAGTGTCATAAAAGGTTTTTATTTCCTGCTATATGGGAATTAACCAAAGAGTGAGTTCATTTTTAAATGCACCCTGTTACTGTCAGACCATTTATAACTCACTAATAATTAATTTATGATTGGCAGGGTTGAGCCTTCCTGCAGTGACAGCCTGCTGCCTTAACTCGCTGCTGTTTGTCTTCCATAGTATAAATGTCTTTGAGTGAGTTGACGTTCCACAGTGGTGAGATGATTTACTGTCACAGTGAATTACACCGCACAGTGGCCTATAGGGGGGAAACTCTACAGCAGGAAATGTCAAACATGCTCTCAGCAGAATTCTCTTTGTCAAGAATAAGCACATAAATTTTAGCATATGAATGAACATAAATATAAATGTGACCCCCAAAGTCAGCTAGTCTGGATAATACTAGATTGCGTATTGATTGCTTATTTACTTGTCTTTTTTGTAAGGGTTCAACTTCATAAACTATTTATTGACCCCATCATATCATTATGCATCTTTATTGCTTCTTTTTTCAAACCACAGCTTGTATATAAAAGGTCGACTAAGCTATTTTGGAGACCTAAATTCAGCTTTTTGAGGCATATCATTTTGTTTTTGGGGCTTGTTGAGCACAAGACAAGCGCACCATAAAACACACCCTGACTATCTAATGTCTGTTTTACTTTAAATAGAACCAGAACAAACAAAACTTTAAAACTAGTAATCGGGAATCTACACTCACCAGAAAAATGTCACATAAATCAAATGTAAACCACAGGATTCCACATCTGCTGGCCATTAATGCAGGATTGAGCCACTGGACTATGTCCATCTTTTATAAATAAATCTGCACAAGAATCACAAAGAGGTCCAGCCAAATAACACTAGTTGCTTAAATAAAAATCTAATGAATATAAAATCAGATGGAACCATTTAGAGCATATTCATCCCCGCCAGCTGAGACAATGATTACAAGAAGACCACAGTGAGATAAAACCTGTATAGTTCTGTTATTATGCCTTTTGTTTACTATAATTATGCAAAGATAACCAAATTAGTTCCACAGTATATCCTACTGTGAAACAAGCATTTTATTCATTTTTTGTGCATTGTTTAAATTTTAAACCTACATTATTCTCTGAGAAAATGTATTAGCTGGTAGTTCCTAAGCCTGAAGCAGCTGTGAAATATTTGGGTGGGACTCCTTAGCCTCAGGAAAAAACAGTAGCTCTGGTTGTCATTAAGAGGGTCCTAAAGCATTTAATAATATATTCTTAAAACTAATAATAATCAAAAACAGTACTACAGTAAATAAAAACCACTGTGGAGGTTTTAAGATGGTACGCTAACCTCTTCATGGTCTTTGGGGAAAGGTTTTTCTCCAGGTCTCTCTCCAGGTCTTGTACTGATAGAGTGTAGGACTCTGGACAGTAGTCAGTCTCCTCGTCATATGCGTGGTCCAGCAGTGTTCGAGCCCATGTCCCCATATCGTAGGGTGGCATCATCCCACCAAGCTCCGATGGCAAGATCTCTGGGTGGATGAGCTGATGGAGGCTGTTTAGGTTGTTACCATGCATGAAAATCTGCAAAGGGAAAAGATGCACAGGGAAACAATTTAGACCAGAGGTCTCCAACTCCAGTCCTCCAGAGCTACTGTCCTGCAGCTTTGCATCCCTACTGTAACGCAGCTGAATCAAATGGTTGAATTAGCTCTTCAGCATGACATCAAGTTTGCCAAAGGTCTAGTAACAAGCCATTCATTTGATTTAGCTGTGTTGGAACGAGGATGTTGAAACTCTTGGAATTTTTCTCTCCACATTCAATTTCTTTTCTCTTCTTGAAACCATGAAAAAGATCACAAAGCCCAGAAAAGCTTGACTATTAGGCCAGTAACCAGACCCAAAATGTCATCATTCCTATTAAATTTGAGTAGTACAACTTGTTATAACCTAATTCTATATTCTGTTTTTAGCATGTATGTGTTTTTTAAGTTTATAGGTTGCTGAATAGGTCATTACCATTTCAAATTTAGAAAGAAAAAGACAAAACAATCAGAACCAAATTACTTTATTAAAAGGAGACCATATGAATTCGGGCTTGCTAATAGTTTTCACCTATCATCCACATTAAAGTGGCTCTCTGTGTGGTTATTTTTACTGTTAGACTGTCTGTGGTCCCAATTTGGAGGGTGCTTTTTTACCTGATTTTGCACCAGCTGAAAGACGGATTATAGACAAATCTCTTGGCTTACCCTCTTCCTTGTCTTGTCTTTAAGAAAGGGTCGGATGACGGTGTAGAGAGCGTGAATGTACCAGGGCTGGTTCACAAAGTGGATCCCTCCAAATCTGGCAGGAAAACTGTCCTGTAGGAAACACAAGAAAAAACAACACAGATGAATATGGTATCTGGAGGTCAGCAAAATATGGTAAATATATATATATGTGTGTGTGTGTGTGTGTGTGTGTGCGTGCGTGCGTGCGTGCGTGCGTGCGTGCGTGTGTGTGTGTGTGTGTGTGTGTTACAAAGTTGTATGTCAGTACTGAGCTATGCCCTTATATAATATTCCTGCCAGTTTCCAAGTTCTAATAACCTCTTAATGTTCACCTAAGATTATGTTACTTTTTTGTCTTTGTGATATTATTTGTTTTGACGAACAAGAACAGACAACTCTATATGTCAAGCAGAAAGACTGAAAATAGCAGAAAAATATCACCAGTGAAAGATGTTTAACCAGAAACGTAAAACTGTAAACTACATATTGCCATGGAAACTTCTGCTGCAAATTCATTAATCACCATTGTATTGTGCAACATACCTGAGTGCGTTTCCTGTCTCTTTTCATTAGATTAGTTTTGTAAATGGCCTCTAACCTCATAGTCGATAGGAAATGGTCTGCAGTGGCTGCAGGACAAGCCCAGAGGGAAATGAAGCCTTGTTCATACAGGTTAGTGTGTGTACTCTGAGCCTAACTCAGTGATTCCTAGAATGTGGACACCATTATAATAATTATGCTCCAGTCCATGTGTATGAATCATCGTTTGGCCGTAGTCCAGCAGTATGGTGAAGACTGTACAGCAATCTGACATAACAGAGCTGGCTGATAAAAATGGCTTGGGGAAAATGTTTATATAAAACATGTTGGCAATGTGTGGGAGAGACAGTGACAGTGTCTGAGGTCAGTGCAGCTTTGTAAATCAGGATTTGACTGATATGAATCATCATGGCCCAAAGTCACTTCAAGTGATTTTGCTCTGATAGCAGTAATGTCAGCTCATACACTGTACAAAGCTTTGATCTAGAGCCATATAAAATTTAAAGACATATAAGACTATATTTACAACAAACCTAACAGAACTGGAAGGTTAGTTCAGGATCAGAGAATGATTTATATTAATTGAGGCAACCTTCAGAATTTTCCTTTAGAGTAACAATCACGCCAAAATTAACCTCTAAACAGCAAAGTAATGGGCCAATCATCATTTACTGTAAATCTTCATTCAAAGAGCAGCACCACCAACACACCCAATATTCCAGGACAAGAAATGTTTCAATGACTACATAAGATGTGCCATTTGCCAAAAATAAATTCCATATATTTATTACATTGTATATTTATATATGTCCAACCGCCCTGTGACAAACTAGCAGCCAGTCCATGGTATAGTCTGCATCTCAACCAGTGACAGCTGGGATAGCCCATAATTAGATACGAAGAAGAAGATGGATGGAAGGTAAGTTTCATAATAAGATGCAGTATTCGGCATTTTGACAAACATACTCCCCTAGTGATTTTTTTCATAATATAAACATAAAATGGTTGAAAATCTTTTCAAACACATTTTTTCTACCATTCATCCTTTCTCTAGAACAACTTGACCTACTTCCAAGGTGGATGGAAGAGACAAAAATGTCCAAGAAAGTCAAAACCTAATGCAGCACTTCTGTCAGGTTTGTTTGTTAGCATCACAGTGGCTCAGTAACTAGCACTGTTGCCTCACAGCAAGAGGGTCACGAGCTCGCTTCTGTGTGGAGTTTGCATGTTCTCGCTGTGTTTGCATGACTTTCCTCTAGTAGCTCTGGTTTCCCCTGCCTTTGAAAAACATGCATTTTCAATCTTGCTGATATCAGTACAGGATACTCTTCCAGAAAATATCCTCAATCTTAAGAGTTGCTAAATAAATAAATACTTTATTTACATATCATGAAGTTGATCAAAGTTACTCTTCTTCCATCATTTCCTGCAATTTAAATTTTCTTTTAACTTCGTTGTTGTTGAAAAATGTGGACAACACTAAAAATGGTAGTCCTCTGTGTTTAATCCACTCATTCATACATTTTTAAAAAGCTGTCATGGTCTGTAGATTTTGCTGTTTCCAGTCTTCAGTACAGACTTTTGATTAGGTCTTTGTGTTGCTGGAGCGTACTGTAACACTTGGTTTTATGACTGTTTTCAGTTTCAAGAGGTTTGGTTGAGTTTGATTTCTTACTTTACTATAATGAGCTTTTTAATATTTTAGAATTCCAATTATATTACCACTCCAGCCTATCTATATTTGATCCTGTGTGTACCGGTTTATTATCCTAGCCTCTCCAGTATCCTCCTGTATCTTGTTAAATCCTCATCTCCGTGTTTAGTGATCCCCAGTTGAGTTTCTTCCTGTTTTATTTTGATAGTTCCCCATCACTTGTGTTTTGCTGTTAGTTTTACTTTTTTATTTTTCCAGTCTGATTGTTCTTGTTACCCAGCTAACATCCTCCTGTGTTTTGCATTCACCTCTGGAAAATATGACAAAAGCTGCACATTTAAGATGATTTCATTTGTCTGTTTCTGTGTAGCCTACACATATTCAAACATGTAAACAAGGATTAACTTAACATTGCACAAGAAATGCTGGTTAATGTTTCAGATGTTGTGTATTTGTTGCAAAAATATTCAACCTCATGTTCAGATGATAAGAAATAACAAAGAAATGTATTTTGGTCCAATGGAGGTCAGACAGCTCGTCTCTCAGCTGTCCGACCCCTCAGTGCTTCTTTTTGATTCTAAATCTCTGGCCTGCCCTCTGCTCTGACAGACATTTTTTCACTTTGATAAAGGGACCTACTGCATTATACATGAAATAGTAAAAATGGAATATGAGATGTAGGCCCTCTGCTGCGCTGGAGGGACAGAAGGAGGAGAAAAAGAAACAGGCGCTAAAGGATTGATCTGCCTTCGCACAAGTGATGTCTGAAAGAAAAGAAAGAGGGAGGAGGTATTCAAATACAGGTTGGGGACACTACAGTGAGAATAAAAGGAGATCCGAAAGGGAAAGATGTAAGAAGATCTCGAGGACTGAGGATGGAGAACGAATTAAAGGCTTAAATTAATGGGAAGGTGGTTATTTTTGGGGTGTTCAGCTTTTGTTTTCCTTTGATGAAATATAGGTGAAAAGAATCACCAAAGAGATAACAGGAGGTAATATGAATGGATGAAGAATAGCTGAAAAAATTGATTTTCAACACTTTTAGACAGATTTTATATAATATTATTCATTGGACAAGTCTAACACAAGAGCTTGCAGATGATTTGAGTCAGTATTCGTCCAATCTAACTTCAATCCAGATGCTGAGGTGGATTTTTACATTTTTTTCCACTCAGCTGAGCAGACAAATCTCTTTACAAGCCATAAAGGGAAGACTGGTGTATGTCATTATGCAGATTCTGACTATGACTACTGTATGACTTGTCTTTCCTGAAGCATCACCTGGTTGTGTCCCCTTTTATAAATCTCAAAATAGAACAAAATCTGTATTTACCAGGGAATAGAAATCCACTGGAAAGTTCACAACTATTAAAAATCTTGCATGTGACTTATGAAATGGTATGGTAAAAACATTTTTCAACAAATATTACAGATTCCCACAAGGCCAAACATCATAATATAATAAAAAATAATACTAAAACAATTCATATCAAGTTGCTACATAGATTTGTTTGCCTACACGTGTTCATATGTGGGCATGTGGGTTTAGGTCGGTCATCATCTCAAAATAAGAGAAAACAGAAGCATGATTTTCTGTCTTAGTTAAATGTGACTGTGTGTTTGCAGGGAGACAACTGTTATTTTCTTTTTGACCCGGTGTATGTGTTTGTCAGTAAAATACTGCTGTGTGTGGGAAGGGAACGTTGAAGAGTGGAGGATTAACATTTAAAAACAGAATAAATTAGTTCAACTATAAGCCTAAAGAAAAAAAGAGAAATGCAGTTGACTTATGACTTATCATACCTGGCCACTTATGTTCACTAATTATAGTAGGATAAATCCTCTCCTAAAGTGGAAAATAAACTCCCTGGTGCGCGCGTGTGTGTGTAACCTACAGTTATAATGCTGTTTTAATTTTTGTGTTTGGGCCACACAGCATGCATTTTAGAAGTGGATAGTGCTCTCCTAATGAGAGAATGTTAATACCCTTCTGCTCCACAGCAACTGTATCTGTTCTTGGGGAGATGGCAGGATGATCAGGCACTGGGAAATTGCGGTCTTTGCCTGGAGACTTTTAAAAAATAGCAAAATTTGGTCTGTAAATTCAAAAGTGATCCACTGTCTTTTGAACTACTGCTAAAATTATTAGGTTAAGCTATTTTTTTCTATTCGCCATTTTCATTTGTATGATTCTGGCAGTACATCGAAGATCTTGTTACGTTAATGAAGTGTTTCACCAAAGGCAGGTGAGTCACCGTGGGCTCTGCCTTTTTAATATGTGTTTATATAAACTTTGCAGATGATTGGCTAATACTTCAGAAACAACCACCAAACGAGAAAAACGGTAGTAATAGAACTCAGAAACTCATGCCAGGAGGTAGATTTGGTAAAGTCTGAAAACAGTTTGATTCCCTCTCAGAGCACTTGAATTGCAGTTTACTAAATGGTTATTTTCTTGAATTGTTTGGCCTATCCCGCGTTTAAGTGGAACCTTTTTTCCACCTTGAGTTTTTGCCATGACCTGGTCTTACTTAAAAAAAAAAAAACGTATTCAAACTAAGTGCCAAAAACACAGGCTGTGCAGCCAGTAAATCCAAGCTGCCAAATTCCAGAAACCAGACAGTCAAAACCACTTCTGCATTTACTTTGATGTTTGGCTCCTGAGAGGCAAAATTCGATTCTAAGCAAATGAGCGAGTGAGGGGATTTATTTTTGGACTCCTGCTCCAGGTCACTGTGTTCAGTTACTGCAAAAGGTTGACACGAATTAGAGGTGACAGCAGATGGAGACAGGTCCAAGCGAACATGTGGAAATTAGGAGAATTTTTATTTATTTATTT